TTTTTTGAGATGAAGTCTCAGTCTGTTGCCTGGGCTGGAGTGCAGTGGCATGATCTCAGCTCACTGCAACCTCTACCTCTCAGGTTCAAATGATTCTTCTGCCTCAGCCTCCTCAGTAGCTAGGAGTACAAGCGCAAGCCACCATGCCTGGTTAGTTAGGGTCTTAAAGGACAGGACTTTGATCAGGAGGAGGAGGAAAGGAAGAGAGAACAAGATAAGCAAAGACGTGGCAGTGGAAAAATTCTGAGTCTACTGAGAGCTATGGGAGCAGGGATAGGAAAAGTGACACTTCCTTGCTGACTCCAAGGCCTTGTCTTTCACGGTGGTGCTCAGAGGCAGGTAAGGTTAAGATTAAGGAATCTGAAGACAGAGTACTTGGATCAGAATCCCTAACTTGCTAACTTTGTGCTCATGGGGAAAATTATTTAACCTTTTTGGATGTTTCCTTGTTTACAAAGTAAAGATAATAAAATAATCTACTTTTGAGAGTTGTTGTGAAGATTAGGTGACTTAATACATATAAAATGATTAGAGTGCCTAACGTACAAGCCTTGCATAAATGTTAACAACTACCATTAAGCCACCTCCTATCACCTCACCTTTCAGAGTCTCTTCACTGTCCAAGTGTTGCTGCCTGATTTTCACTAAAGCCTTTCCATTAAAAGAGGGACTGTGATATAATTCCATCCTTCAAGTTTTTACTCACTTCCCTTCATTACATGCTCCAGGACTAAAGGTTCACAGGTCAAGCCTCTGCTTCTACTGATAACTCCTATTTGGGAGTTGTTGGGAGTCTGAGGAAGTAAGCAGAATTCTTGTCAAGAGCACAGGAGTTCAAAGAACAGCGAAGAAATGCCACCACCCTCGAGAATATAGAAGTATATATAGACCGTAAGCCAAAAATCAGGTGAGAATCCTTTTTAGAACTCAGGACTGGTGGAGAAATTTAACTATGCTGGCAAAGGATCTGGGTCACAATGTCACCCCTACCTTCCCCCTCCCTTGCCACCATGTGCAGGTAGATGTTGAGGGAAGTTTCTTTTACCTTAAACTGGGCCCAGAATCTGTTCACTGCCTGCTTCTCTCCACTCTAACCATCTCCTATGGAGGGCTGAATAATAAGAAGTCACTGAGTCAGCCAAGCACAGTGGCTCACGCCTGTAATCCCAGCACTTTGGGAGGCCGAGGTGAGCAGATCACCTGATGTCGGGAGTTTAAGACCAGCCTGACCAACATGGAGAAACCCCGTCTCTACTAGGAATACAAAATTAGCTGGGTATGGTGGTGCATGCCTGTAATCCCAGCTAATTGGGAGGCTGAGAATGCGGTGAGCCGAGATTGCACTATTGCACTCCAGCCTGAACAAGAACAAAACTCTGTCTCAAAAAAAAAAAAAGAAGGCACTGAGTCACACACACTGACATCAACTGTCACTCACTAGATACCATCACTTTATATGGAGTGAGACTGGAAACTGTCTTAGATATTTCCTTACTTCCAATATTGTCTCTCTCCCAGAAAGAGGCTGTGTGAGGCACTAATTACAAGGAAGAACTGAGGTGGAAGGATCCAAGTGTAGGAAGGCCAAAGTAGCTAGCGATGGAAACCTAAGGAAACCAAGCAGAGGAGGGCAAGGAGGCAAGGCCTGTGGATATTTACAATAGTCTGAAGGACTCCAAGCTAGCTGTGAAAAGACCCAGTTCATGGCCTCAGGATGACTAACAAAAATGGTACCCACTGCACTTCTCAAAATGCATTAGAAGCCAAATCAATAACTGTAGGGGTACTGGGTCATAGCCAGCAGCTTCTACCTAAAAATAGCACATCCTCCTTCCCTTCCCCCCAGGTCCAGAAAGCAAATAAGGATAGGACAGGGGAAGGGATGGGGGTGGTAGCCAGGAGAACAGCAACAGCAGGTGAGATCCAGGCCTGGAAGAATCAAATGCTGTGGTTTGAACGTGTCCTCCAGAAGTTCACACTGGAAATTTTACTCCCAATGCAACAATAGTATTGAAGATGGGGCTTAATACAAGGTGACTGGGTCACAAGGACAGAGCCCTCATGAATGGATTAATGTCACTATCACAGGAGCAGGTTATCATGAGAGAGCTGTTACAAAGCAAGTTTGGCCCCTGGTCCCCTTTGTCTTATGTGCTCATTTCTACCTTGTGCCCTTCTGCCATGGGATGACCCTCACCAGATACAGGCACCATGCTCTTGAAATTCCCAGCCTCCAGTACTGAGAAATACACTTCTTTATAAATTACTGAGTCTGTGGTATTGTTATAGAAGCAGTAAACAGACTTAGGAGCTAGAGTCCCACTGGCCTTTTCCGACTCAAGCAGTTTTCAAGTACTTAAATGATTTTGTGTTAAAAGCAACCCCAGAGGCTAACATCACTAGCTTGGAAGTCTGAGAGCTGACAAATTAAAACCTAGCCGCAATTATACATATTTTTAGCAGAAGAAATTCTTAGCATTTTGTTGCCATAGAGATCAAAAAAGGAACCCCACAGAGCCCTGCCCCTTAATTCAGTCCTTCTCCTTTCATTTGGTCCCTAAGCAGGGTGAGAAAGCCTCTCCCCCACCCACTTATTTTAAGGCAGTGGTAGGTACACCTTCCCTTTCACATAGGTTTTCCTGGAATACTCAGTTCCCTAGAATTCACTGGTCCCAGGCCTGTGTTATCCCAGGCAGAGCCATATGGAAAGCAAGGGTTGAGGGGACTGACAGAGGAACAATAGTAGACATCAGGTCAGGGAAACCCTGCTGTATTATACAAGACCCAAACCCCTTTGGATACTGGACTGGGATTGCTACTACAAAGAGGGTCAAAGGTAAGTGCAAAGGCCAATAGAGTAAGAATGCTGAGCTTAGGAGCCTTCTCTGGTACTTAAGCTCTTCAAGATCACAACCTACCTCCCCCCACACTCAAGGAAAAAAGTACAGAATGTAGTACTGTCATAGTGCCATCTGCTGGAAAAATAAGATCTGTCCTTAAGCACAGAGAAGGAGCCCGTGAAGTCTAAAGCTGTCCAGTGGGTAGGTTGGGATGGAGATAAAGATGCCGAGAGATGCAGAAGACAACCATGGGATCAAGAGTGTAATGCGGATACAGAATGGGAAACCCATTCTGTGAGTTTTCATTTTTCTTTTTTTTTTTTTTTGGAGATGGAGTTTCACTCATGCCACCCAGGCTGGAGTGCAATGGCACGATCTCGGCTCACCGCAACCTCCGCCTCCTGGGTTCAGGCAATTCTTCTGCCTCAGCCTCCTAAGTAGCTGGGATTACAGGCACGCGCCACCATGCCCAGCTAATGTTTTGTATTTTTAGTAGAGACGGGGTTTCACCATGTTAACCAGGATGGTCTTGATCTCTTGACCTTGTGATCCACCCGCCTCGGCCTCCCAAAGTGCTGGGATTACAGGCTTGAGCCACCGCGCCCGGCTCATTTTTCTTTTTTTGAGATGGAGTCTTGCTCTGTCACCAGGCTGGAGTCCAGTGGAGTGATCTTGGCTCACTGCAACCTCCACCTCCCGGGTACAAGTGATTCTCCTGTCTCAGTCTCCCGAGTAGCTGGTATTACAGGTGCCCACCACCACACCCAGCTAATTTTTGTATTTTTAGTAGAGATAGGATTTCTTAAAAAAAAAAAAGACAGGGTTTCACCATGTTGGTCAGGCTGGTCTTGAACTCCCAACCTCAGGTGATCCGCCCACCTTGGCCTCCAAAGTGCTTGGATTACAGGTGTGAGCCACCATGCCTGGCAAGAGATAGGATTTCACCATGTTGGCCAGGATGGTCTCGATCTCCTGACCTCATGATCTGCCCACCTTGCCCTCCCAAAGTGCTGGGATTACAGGCGTGAGCCACCATGCCCAGCTGAGTTTTCATTTTTCTTTCTAAAGATGGTTAAATAAAATAAAAGAACAAAAACACAATGGTGCTACTAATCTTTTATAATCCCTAGAAACATCATGGTTTGGGCTCATAAGAAGTTGTCGGACAGACACACAACAGAGACCACACACAAATGGGCGACAGCTGACACAAGGAGGTGGCTTGCCTTTTGTACAAAGTTTTTATATATATACACACACACACACACACACATACATACATATATATTTATGTACACAGACACAAGGGGATAAAATCCAGTGAGAAGGACTCACACATGCCCAGGTCGGAAATGGGAGCAGCTTTAACTGCCAGGGTTGAGGCCACAGTGGAGGCACACAGGAAGTGGTAGATAGTAGCAGCCTCCCTCCATCCTCCCACCCTGGGCCAAAGGGAGGACTTGCGAGGAAGGACAAGTATTCAAAGGAAGATGGAAGACACGAAAGGTACACTCCACCTCTTTAAATTCCTGAAAGCCCCTAAATGCCTGGCAGGATAGATCACTCCCATGCCTCCTAGCAAGATGCTGAGTCTACAGTAGGTCTGGCCTCAAGCTGGCCTCAAGGTCTGAGGTTGGCTTCTCAATGCACGAATCCATGCTATCTTGTAGGGCCCTTGTAGCAGAAAAGATCACCTTCAAGGCTCACCCCACAAACTCAGTCCTTTTGATTCAGAGGTCCTAAGGGTTTTCCTTGACAGGTTGAAGGGTAAAGGTTCAGGAAAAGGAGAGAGGTCAGTGCCTTCAGTTAATGCCCTATGGCCTTCCCAATGGGGGAGGAACTGAGGAATCATTAAGGTGTAGGAAAGGGCAAGAAGGTCATCTCAGAGACAATACACATGGAGAAACAGGTACTCAATGCAGGTGTAGATTCTGCTTTCTTCAACTGGGCGCTTTGCTCAGGAGAGTCCATTTCCAGTGGGGCCATGAGCAGGAGCTCTTCTTGGTGTCTTAAGGGTGGCCCCAGTTCCCTCAGAGACAATGTCCATGCCCTCAGGATGGCTTGGTCCACAAAATTGAGAGATGGGGCCATGGAAGAGTAGATGTGAAGTAGCAGGACCCAGAGGCACAGGGAGGCAGTCTGCTGTGCCACTGATTTACCTGTGGAAAGAAGAGGTAAATGGGAAGTCAAAGGAAAGAGAATAATCAAAGACTAGAATGAGTTAGGTCCTGAGACTCACATGGTCTGAGGGGTAAAGAGGCTGGAGAGCTGGAAGCACTGGGAGGCAAGGTTCAGGGCTGGACTCAGAGCTAGAACAAAGAGACGCAGAGTGAGTAAGCAACCACAGTGCACTCCTTCTTTCCAGATCCCAAGCCTTCCCTTCCTTTCCCAAGACCAAGACTACCAGTCAGAGCTGCTGGGTTCAGGGCGCCCAAGGGAACTGCTCCATTCAGCTGCAAGGCAGCAGCTTGGGCGGCGGCGGCAGCAGCAGCAGCAGTAGTAGTTGGCAGTTGGATTCCAGAGCCTAAAAGGAAAAGAAAAGGTGGAATTAGGCCCCAACCCTTGATCTAAAATTCAACCCCATATTCTTCACCTTGTGGAGATATTCTACCTTCTGCCAGTTTGGCCATCAGCTGCAAACGTCCACCTGCTGATCCCAGATCCAGCTCCTGGTCCCCATCAGGGAAAGTGATATCTGTGCCACCATCCAGTCGCTCAGTCACATGGCCAACCCTCATAAGTCGACCGGCAAGCTCAAAGCCATTCAACTGTTCCAGGGCCCGCCGGGCACACTCAGAGTCAGAGAACTATGAGAAACCCAGGCCATGTTAGTCACCTCCTCACCAAAGACATGCTCTCAAAGCCCCAGTAACACCCCTTAGTCCTACTATCCCAGGAAAACTGTACAGTCACTGAGGTACAGTACAACTTTTCTTTCCCAGAAAATATGACCTCTGAACAGGACCTTGTCTGGCGGACTCAATAGCAGTCACTTTTCAATCTTCCAGCTCCATTAAGAATCTAACAATAGGCCAAGCACGGTGGCTCATGCCTGTAATCCCAGCACTTTGGGAGGCCAAGGTGGGCAGACCACCTGAAGTCAGGAGTTCGAGACCAGCCTGGGCAACATGGTGAAACCCCTGTCTCTACTAAAAATACAAAATTAGCTGGGTGTGGTGGTACATGCCTGTGATTCCAGATACTAGGGAGGCTGAGGCAGAAGAATCACTTGAACCCGGGAGGCAAAGGTTGCAGTGAGCGGAGATCACGTCACTGCACTCCAGCCTGAGCAACAAGAGCAAAATTGCATCTCAAAAAAAAAAAAGCAGGCCGGGCGCGGTGGCTCAAGCCTGTAATCCCAGCACTTTGGGAGGCCGAGGCGGGTGGATCACGAGGTCAAGAGATCGAGACCATCCTGGTCAACATGGTGAAACCCC